TGTGATACATACTGCTCAGACGTCCTACAAAAATGAATGTCATTTCCTTATAACTAAACCACCAAAACACTGTCTCCTTTCACAATTGTATAGACACCGGAAATTCACAGAGTAGAAAACTCGAGCGGTAAGAGTTTATGTCCTCACACATACACCCCCACTCAAAAACGAGACATTATTAGCCAACGTGAGACTTCTGCCGCGCTGGGATGAAACTACGAGCCTGTGGGATAGGCCAGTTACATATTTGGTCACAGGTTGACAATCACTGCAGGGAAACTCTGCCGTCCGATAGGATATAAGGCAGCACGCTGACATCGGTGGTCACGGGAAGCATATAGGGAGACTTAGTTTTCCATATTGTCCAGAACTGCTACGCCAAACAAGTGCCTTTTATTTTTCAAACGCGTCCGTCGTGAATTCCATCATGGTTGTGGCTAACGCGAGACGTGCTGATACTTGGGCAACACTGTGCGTTTGTATTATTTTGACCCTTTTCGGGGTTCACTCTCAACCCTTTGTAGACAGAGGGCCGCAAGATACTATTGTTCGTCAAGGGGCAAGTGTCAACTTCACCTGTGACCTAAGAAATATTGAAGGTTACACTATCTACTGGCACCACCAGCCACAAGTGGGCAGTGTCCGATACCTTACTGTGAACAGAGAGTTATATACCGGTACCGTCTCTCCTCCACCTGCTCAGCTACAACGACGTCTATCAATCACTGGTGATGAGAGCAGGGGAGAGTTTACTTTACGGATATCAGATGTAAGAAAAATTGACGATGGGGTGTATTCTTGCCTTTATGGTTATACTAATATTCCAGTGAAGACCGCTTCCTCTGCTGAGCTAACCGTTCTCGTACCACCATCCTCATTGTCTCCATGGTGTAGTGCACAACCTGTGTCAACGGCTGATGATAATACCATAAACCTCTACTGTAACTCTCAAGGCGGAGAACCTCCTCCAAATATTACATATTTCAGGGAAACTGAGCAGATAGCTGGTCCCGGAATTCGGTCAATTCAACATACGTACCACTTAAGAGAACAGGACAATGGTGTGACTTTCACTTGCATCTTGACCACACCTGCCTTGGATGAGCCAAGTACTTGCTCCGTGATGCCACTGAGAATCTTGCCGAATGCCACCATCCTACCTGCAGTATCCGAGGTTGAGAACAGGACCTCAAGATCGTTTGAATGTCATGGAGAGGGCGTGCCTAACATTGCCACATACAGGTGGAGGGTGACTTATGCCGATACTGGAGACATCCTACTTGAAAACAACTACAGCGTATCTGAAAATGGCCAATCTTTGAAGATAACGGTGACGCAGAATCTGGAATTGCTCTGCGTAGTTAGTGTGCAATCTGGACTGTCTGGTCACGCCACCGCGCTGGTTAATGTTACCAAGCTAGTAACTACAACTGTGGCAGGGGGGCTGAGAAAAACTGCCAGCCCCGACCCCGAGGACGAAGCCTCGGCGTCGCTGATTATGCCCATCGCTGTCGTGGTCGTGGTCATAGCATCACTAATGTTGATCGTCTTCTGCTTCTTGTGGAGAAGAAAAACGAGACGGGCAATCGACCCTAAGATTGAATACAACATGCGTGATATTCGAGGTGAACGTGAAGAACTGAA